TTTGATTATATATATTGAATACATACATACATATGTATGTGTGTGTGTTCAATTATTGTTATGTAAATAACAAATAGGGTCATATGAGATAAACGAATCAAAAAAACAAATATTGGGTGTAAGCAATGAAAATGAATAGTCTAATTAATTTAATGTTTTGATAATAATTACATCAATAAAAAAACAAAGTTTGTGTTTTTTTTTTAAATTAGTATTGCGATGCCTAAAAATGTATCTTATTGTTGGTGTTTTTTCTTACAAAATTACAAATTAATAAACTATAAGAAAACATAATAAAAAAAAATTAAGTGAATCCACAACAAAAGGAAAAATAATCAAAATTTTCACAAAATTTTAAATCCTCAATGGAGACTTCTCTTTAATCCATGTTCCAATGTCTTAGACTTCTCTTTAATCCATATTCCAATGTCTTATTACATATATTGATAAACTTGTGTATACTCTTCTGCCATAGATGATAGATGAAAAAGAAGAGGAGAGAGCGTACCTATAGTTTATAACTCGTACATGGATATGAAGAACACATAAATGAAAAAAACCTAAAGATTGAGGGATTTAGAGAAAAAACCAAGGATTGAATGATTTAAATGTTAGAGTTGAAACATACCAAGAGAAGGGAAGGGTTTTTGAGTTAAATGTGAACATTAATTTGCAAAATTACTAAGGAAAAAAAATCAAAACGTGGAAAAAAGAGGAAAAGTGGTTTTTAGATGAGAGATGGAAAAGAAGAGCGAAGAGCGTACCAGTAATTTATAACTCGTACATGGAGATAGAGATGGAGAACGCATAAATAGAGTTGAAACGTACCAAGAAAAGGGGAAGGGTTTTTTGAGTTAAATGTACACATAAATAGAGTTAAAACGTACCAAGAGAAGGGGAAGGGTTTTTTGAGTTAAATGTACACATAAATAGAGTTGAAACGTACCAAGAGAAGAGGAAAGGTTTTGAGTTAAATGTGAACATTAATTTGCAAAATTATTAAGAAAAAAAAATCAAAATGTGGAAAAAAGAGGAAAATATGATCTCTACGTCGAGGAGATGTCACGTCAGCATATCATGATTCTGCTTTATAGATATATATAGATTAGATTAAGATTCATTTTTTAATTGTGAATCCCTTAATTCACTACAACCAAATGTCGTAATTTGTTATCTAGTATTAAAATGGCTTATGCTTACGATTAAAGTCGACTAACCTTTTAAGATGTACATAACAAAGTAGCAAAGATAAAATGACCGAATCATTTTTAAATTACGATGTAAATCTTTTGTCCTTTAAACTATTTACATTTTCATGGTTACATTTTTCTTTCTCTCATAATAATTGGTGGAACGATTGAGAAAGATTATTTCTTAATGATCTGTATAGATTATCACAAAGATAATTTTATCTTAGAGTTTGTTTACCAAATGGTTATTTGAGCAAGTGTTTAGCAGCAAAATTTGTGACTATCACTTACTTATTGAGTAAGATTTTAGTCCACCAAAATGGTATCGAATGCATCAATTTATCCGGTAAGTGTTAATCACGATAAGAGTTGTTGCTCTTACTTACTAGGTAAGATTCTCGGTCCTTACCTATGCTTTTACCAGATAAGACTATTGGTTAATACCATATTCATCTTGTAATATAATGTTATTATATGAATAAAGATAATACATTATTTTTGGAAAATTGAATATATAGTTTATTAGACAACCAATTGATCCGAGTCATGGAAGGGATTGAAAGAGATTTTGTTCATTTTCCATAGTTTTTCTTCTTCTTTTCAAAGAGGGAAAACACAGAGAGAGAGAGAGATGCATACTCCTACCCAAGCGTAAGTGGAACTGTGGAAGAATTTTGGGAGACAAATCAAGATTTTTCTTCACTCACGTTTGCATTACCTTCCATAGATCTCAGATTCCTCTTCAGATCCTCGTAATTGACCTTCCCCAGATCTCGATTCGACTGTAATTGAGGGGGCCGGTCTACGAACCGGTTATATAGTTCCTTTTTGCACTAAACACCTCTGGATCTGATCGAGCTCTCTCACGGTTTCAAAACCAACCCAATCATGAATCCCTTTTCGTCTGGGACGCGTCTAAGGTGAGTTGCTTCTTCACAACTGATCTCATGTTTTGAAGCTTTTTTTGTTTGATCAGTTTTGAACTGGGAGTTGTTCGTTTTGACCTAATTTGTATCAATGTGATCTGGAATTGTCTAAATTGAATGTTAGTTTGCGTTGGTACACATGATTGGTATTCATTTAATGGAATTAATTGATGTATTCCACGGCTATACCTGGTCATTCAAACAAGTTGGACATTACTATCATGAATTGTAAGATTTTAAGATCCTTATCTGTGAAGGATGAATACATATATACTCTTTGGACACTATCATGAACCATCTCTTGTAAACTGTATGCCTCTATACTCGAGAGTTTCCATCTCTCTGGTTTATCTTGCACTTTCTCTCCCTCATCATGCAAAATATTTCACTACATGTTTGATATGGGACAATTAACAGAAACATAGTGCATTTGTTTTCTATCATTGTTCCTGTTCATATTAAAAATCTTCCATTAATTTCCATCTCTAATTGTCTAGATGTGTGGCTGCAGTTTAGCATCAGTCCTTTCTCATTGACAACATTTTCTTCTTCTGGATAGTCAGCTAATTCATCTACAACATAAGGTGTCGTAGGCACATTTCAATAACACAAATGTACACCCTTGCCATACTGAACAATTGTCATTAATTTTGTAAGATTTTCATATACAGAATTAGTAATGATGTGGAGACACGCTACAAATTTAGCAGCATGTTTTTCTTGGAGAAGGCGATGGAACCCCAGAACAACTAAAAATTTAGGAGCATGTTGCCATAGTGTTCTGTAGCAAAGCAACAGACTAGTCAAATAAGGTTTTTAGGTGTTACTATATGGTGTTAGGGTCCTTGTTGGAGTGATTATTTTCTTTCCATGGAAGAAAATATAGATGAAGCTGGAAAAGGGAGAATTATTTGTGCCTATTTGTGCCAAGTAATGAAAACTGTTAGGTGAGCAGACTGAGCTTCCTAATGTCTCTGTTCATTAAGGAGGTTAAACATGTTGGAGCTTGGCCAATGTGTCATATTCCAGTTGGTAGGCAGAACTTGGTGGTTATGATGACAAAGGACTTTGTTACGATTATTTGTATTGATTTTGTACACCAGAAGCAATCATACTAGGGACCAACCTTGACGATCAAGATACATGAAGGGTTATACATAGCGGAGCATCAGCTCCTCCTGAGGAATGATTGTTGAGCATGGTAAATAAACTTGATATATTAGAAGTTATGGAGAGGAGGAGAGATGGGGCAGGAGGCATAGATTTTTTTTTTGTATGAATGTTAAGCATATCCTACACACACATTTCCCTTCTTGGTGCAAGACAAATTAACCAAGGAGAGGACTGAACAAACTTGGTTGCAGGCTAACTTTGGATCGGCAGAGAAACGCTTGATCTTGTTTAAATTGTTGGGCGGCATCTAGCAGTTCCAGTGTGGGGGATGATGAGGAGATGGATAAGCTTATATCTTTGGTGGGGTGGGATGCTTCTATCTACCATATCAGTTAGGTGGCTGTAATAGAAATTTACCTTTTTCTTCTTTCTTTTGGAGATAATGTTGGAGCTTCACAATTTGGAAAAATTGTTAATTTGTTAGTTCCTTTCTTTTGGGCATAGGGCTGGGTATCACCAGGTTTCTTGCATATTCTTTTTTATTTTTGGTGCTGTATGCGGACCTAGTTACTCTGGCTGATTTGGCTTTGGTAATACCACGTGCACACATAAAATCATGAGTATTGACTTGTGTTTTCATGACACTATAGTTACCTTACTCTGTCTACCTTAATTTCTTCATCCCCTGTTATCCTGTAATTTGCTGATGTGTAGTAATATGTCAGTCCAATATATCGTTACTTTCTCTTAGTCCGTTTATACCCGCCGTTGACCTCAGTCATCCTTTCAGAATTAGTATGCATGAGTTAGACTCATTTAAGCAAGTCGATAAAAACATATTTTCATTGGTGTTCATTTTTTATGCATGATATTATAATAACTGTTATTTAGTTGGGTGCGAATCAAAGTATTGTTCCACTGCAGGGACATGATTCGGGCAATACGTGCTTGCAAAACTGCTGCAGAAGAGCGTGCTGTTGTTAGAAAAGAATGTGCTTCTATTCGTGCAGCAGTCAGTGATAATGATCAAGATTATAGACACCGTAACTTGGCAAAGCTCATGTTCATTCACATGCTAGGATATCCCACACATTTTGGCCAAATGGAATGCCTAAAGTTAATAGCAGCTCCTGGATTTCCCGAGAAGAGAATAGGATATCTTGGACTTATGCTGCTTCTTGATGAAAGACAAGAAGTTCTGATGCTGGTCACCAATTCACTAAAGCAGTATGCTCCTACTTTTTCTTTTCTTTTTCTTACATATTGTGTTCTAGTAACATGGTTGACTATCTTCGGTGCTTAGTACTGTCTACATGTAAGAAGGAATTCCTAATAATAGAGAAGCTGTTGTCATCATCTGACAGAGATCTTAACCATACCAACCAATATATTGTGGGACTAGCTCTTTGTGCTTTGGGCAACATATGTTCTGCAGAAATGGCTCGTGATCTTGCACCTGAAGTCGAAAGGTTGCTGCAATTTCGAGATCCAAATGTCCGGAAGAAAGTAAGTTGATGAAAATATAGCATTTCTGTTCATGGGCGATGGTCCTTATGGGGTCATGAAGCCTAAGCATGTGATTTTTGTTTCTTGATCCCACCTTGACAACATGTCTGATCTATGGAGTACCCTATAAGTTCCATAAATCATTCCTTTCTAATTTGTCTTCATTCAAATTCTTCATTCAAATTGTCTGCTAATATTATGAATTAAAAACCATTTGTGTATAGAAATGTTAATACTGGACAAGGAAAAACATATAGGTGATTTTTTTTGTTGTATTTGTGTGCACTGTGACATTATGTTTATAACAAGTATATGCTTTCTCTTGTTATCATCTTGAACCTTTTCTTGTGCTTTTTCCTGATGAATCATGTGTGACATGGCTATTATTAGAACTTCTCCCTGTTTTGAATGCTTCAATCAATATATGTTTTTCCTGTAATTATACTTGATCTAATTTCCGGTGTTTGTTATGAAAAAAGATCATTAACACTTTGCACTGTAGAAGGCTTGTGGATGCAAAATGTAATTGATATACATTTCATTTCATCATCTCTCAAGAATATTTCATCTTTGGCTCTCATTTTACCCTTCACAGCATTGTACTAACATAAGTGCTTACACTGCACAGGCAGCATTATGCTCAATAAGGATTGTAAAGAAAGTCCCCGACCTTGCAGAAAATTTTGTAAACCCTGTTGTTTCCTTGCTTAAAGAAAAGCATCATGGAGTTCTTTTAACTGGAATCCAGCTCTGTATAGATCTCTGTAAACTTAGTGAAGAGGCTCTTGAATATTTCAGGAAGGTAAGTTAATGTCGCTTGCTCAAGATCTTCTACTTTTCTGAGCACCTGAACTTATCATTTCATGTATTATTGGTTGGGACATGAGCAGTCTGTTTTCTTCCTTTTCCCTTTCTTTAATTATTCTAACATACAACTGTGCTAAGAATCGCTTGACATATGATTCTGCACCGGTAATTTTGTTAAATTTGGGAGTGCCTACACTGGTTGGTTTATGTGATGAGATGTTTTTTCCTTCCCTTTTCTTCTTTGGTCTAGAAATGCACAGAGGGCTTGGTGAAAGTTCTGAAGGATGTTGTGAACAGCCCATATGCTCCTGAATACGACGTTGGTGGGATTGCAGACCCTTTTCTCCATATAAGACTGCTCCGTCTTTTGCGCGTCTTAGGCCATGGAGATGCTGATGCTAGCGATTGTATGAATGACATTCTAGCTCAGGTTAGCTCACATCCTTTATCATAAAACTTATTGACTTATCCTATTAAATTTGGTCCAATTGATGCTTTACCTTGTATGTGCTTCTCTTCTTTCAAACGGATCTCTTCGTGTATCTCATTCATGTGAAATGTGTGTTGCATAGTTTATCACTCCTTCAAGCTTTCATTTAATCTTCACTAGGTCAATTGTCATGAAGAATTTTATGGATTTCTTTTGGCACCTATAGCGCAAGACAATTAAATCATAATGTCTACTGATGATCTTGTAATGAAGTCTGATTACACTGCTCTTGCTGAATTCCCTGTGTAGGTGGCAACAAAAACTGAGTCGAACAAGAATGCAGGGAATGCCATACTTTATGAATGTGTAGAAACTATTATGAGCATTGAAGATAATAGTGGCTTGCGTGTTCTTGCAATCAACATTTTGGGGCGATTCTTGTCTAACCGCGACAACAATATCAGGTGAGTATCGTCTCTTTTATGGGCTAAAATATTTGGCATTAATGCAAAAAGGACTTTGCATAACATATATTATTTTGCAGTTTTAATGTTTATGAAGATCTTATTGTGGTATCAAGTGTTAAAAACTCCGTCTTGTATACCTTGATCTTGCCAGCCAGTTCCTGCACAGGGTTTAATTTTTGTTTAGGTTGTACAATTAATGCAAACATGAAGATATATGAACTCTTCGATTACCCAAATGGTTGGCTGAGTGTTTAATTTGTGTTCTATATGTTCCATTAGAGAATTTAACGGCCAATTGAATTTGTAAGACAAGCATCGCATTTTCAGTTGCTTGCAAATATCCAATGAAAATGTTCTTCATCACCGTCAGTTAGAAAATGGTCAGCTTGTTTAGTAAAAGGTCTTGGTTCAACTGTCTGTCCTTGCTTTTTGATATGATATGATTTCTTGAACTGTGATAGCCACATAATCTTTCAGGTGATGATTTTTTGCATAAGAATTTTGAAATTCTCCATGATTAGTTGAGTTGGTGCCTTTAGATGTTTCAATTATTGATTTCCATGGTAATCAGCTATGTGCATTTAGATAATTTCTTACTGCTAGTTTCCCTGATTCAGTCTCTTAAACTTTGAGCCTCACATGACAGATATGTTGCGTTGAACATGCTGATGAAAGCAGTTTCAGTAGATGATCAAGCAGTGCAGAGACACCGCGTCACAATCTTAGAATGTGTAAAGGTAATTTTCTCATTTATTAGTAGACAAGTATATGTTAATGACATCAGGTGGAGGGGCTGAGATTTGAAACCTGCACACATGCAAATGAGCAATAGGCCTTCCCACTCAACTTTATTTGGTGTAACACAAAAAATGTAGGTGCACCTTTTTCTTCTTGCTGTTGTTACCCTTGGGGGGTGCTTGGTTTGCTTTGACATTCTTTATCGTTATTATATAATCAGCAATTCCATTTAGAAGCTCGAAAGATCCAAATAGAAAGAAAAATAAAGAAGACCTTCTTGCTTTCAGAATGAAATTTGGTGGATTGAAATCCATCAAGGGATTTGAATTTGAATTTGAATGAATTGGAATGGAAGTTGATCACGTTTTTGGTTGGCAGAAATTGGAATGGCATCTCTCAAAAGAATTGGAATCTGCATGTTTGATTGGCAGAATGTAGCTTAGGAATTGGAATGAACTAACAATAAATGACCCAAATACCCCTTAATTACATTTTCATACTTTCTTGCTTTAAACTATAAATACAATATGATGATGATATTAATTGGTGATGGTGGCGGCTCTGACGATGATGGTAGGGGCGTGGTGGTGTTGGCGGTGGGTTAGGGAGGGTGGGGTGGCTGTGGAAGCGGCGGCAGTAGGGTGCCAGGGTGGTGTGAGAGGTGGGGGTGGTGGTGTTGGTTAAAATTGACGCAAAGGTTATTTTTGTCTTTTTGTAACCTAATTATGAAATTCGTTACTTATGGATGGCAAGGAATGATCAAATCAATTCAATCCGTGAACCAAACGCAAGAATGGACTTTGGTCAATGGCATTGACATTCCAATTGCTTCAGATGCCACTGGGATTCGACAAATCAAACTCCCTTGATTCTTAGTGTTAATGATGTTTGTACTGAAACTATTTTTTTACAACTGCTTCTGCACTCCAGATGTGTGGAATTGTCTCTTGTCGTGATTGTCTTTTCCTGGTCATCTTAATTATCCTCACTGTTCCATTTTCCTTCGTCCTCTATATCTTTTCTACTTCCTTGAGGCTTAACACAAACTTACTAATTGAGTTATAATTTGTTGTTGCATTTTCTGAATGTACTTTTTGGGGATTCAGGGGTTGAATAGTTGCACTTTGGATCTACTCTACCACATGTGAATTTCATATGGTGCTCCTTTCTTATTCAGGATTCAGATGCTTCAATTCGTAAAAGAGCTCTTGAACTTGTATATCTCCTTGTGAATGAGAGCAACGTACAACCTTTGACCAAGGAGTTAATTGATTATCTACAAGTAAGTGACCAGGACTTCAAGGAAGATCTTACTGCAAAAATTTGCTCCATTGTGGAAAAGTAAGTTCAAGGTTTCTATTTAATAACAAATCATTTTGGTTGGTATTAGAATTGTGAAGTTATTACATTATTGCTGTAGTCATGATTTCTTGTGAAGAACCTCAGACAATGTTAAAACCCTTGCATGCTAGGTTTCTTCAAATCACTGATTTTGGTGTGCATCTTGATGATAACATCCCTCACATTAGAAATCAAGCTGAATAGGACATATTTGAAGTTCAGTGGCGTCCAGTTTTGCACTCTAAAGAAGTTACATCAAAAGGGGTTGCATGTGGTCTTCTATTCCAATTCATGCCTTATTCAATATTATGCAATTTCACACACATGACACACCACAGATTGCTTTAGATCTGTGCTTGGTTTTTTCAGAACATACCAAATTTGACTTTATGCAGCTGCTTTCATTCCTTTTATGGTTTTTTTTCCTAGATGAATGACAATTACAAATTTATCTGTTGGAAACCTTTTTTTGTATGTTCTTTTTACATTTATTCCCACGGTGGACTTGCAAATATTGCTCCTCACTTGCAACAGTCCTACTTGTGACCTGTTCTTAGACTGTTGTAATGTGCATACACACAGCATCTGAGAAGTTCACAATTTTCTTTGTTACCTTATCTCTCCGAAATATTTTTCGTTGTTACCTTCATCTCTCCTAAGTATTTTTTTATGCCCATGAATTTGTCCATGCTGAATGTTAGTAAGCAGAAGATCCTTCTTTCACAGTTCAGTTGGACCTTTTCTTCCAGTGATGGACACAAACTCTTATGTTAAATCTAGAGTTGAGTTGACTGTGCTCATTTCTCTCCAAATTTCCCATTAGTTGAGTTGACTGTGCTCATTTCTCTCCAAATTTCCCATTAGCTGAGTTGACTGTGCTCATTTCCTTGATCCCTTCTATGTTGCGTCAATTAACCAAGCCATCTTCAGCAGTTTATTAACTTAATTGGTTTCTTGTTGCTATTGGTTGTTTAAAGGAGGGGAGGACACACTTTTTTTATGTGAAGTTATAACCACAAAAGAATACTTCCACACTAACACGACATTATTACCAAAAACAACATGATGTGTCAATCTGGCATTTTCTTTCCCTGGTCCTTAATGCTCCGCATGGTAAACAAAGTATGTGAGGTGAATGGATCTTCGGAAAGCTCAATGATTTTGGATCTATGCCAGAGTGATATAAATAACCAACTACAAAGATTCTGTAAACTGGTTGTCCTACATAGACAAAAGAAATATTCATTAGGTACCTAATAACTAGACACATTATCATTATACTATATGTTTTGCATCCAAGACAACGTTGATAAAACTTTCCTGGAAAGAGAACTCATGATTAATCTGGTGGTACTGATATAGTAATATACATACATGGCTAAGGGCATCTCCAACGGATTTTCCGAAATGGAGATTTTGGGGTCTTTTTTGCTCCAACAGATTCTCTAAAACCTTCTCCAAAATGGAGAAAGTAGGAGAGAGAATGTAAAATTCCAAATACGAAGAACTCCCTAAAAATGATTACTTATGAGTGAGAAATGATATTTTATTATTCCCACCAATACGAGTTTTTCAAGTTAAATGTCTATGAGAGAAAAATAATATGTTATTAAATGTATGGAATATTTTAATAATATAATTGATGTTATAATCTCCAAAATGGAGAATCTGTTGGAGTTGAATGTAATTATTTTTGGAGATTTTGATTTTTAACTCTCTGTTTTGGAGAAAATATGGAGAATCTTTGGAAATGCTCTAAGCCAGGGAAATGAGGAATGATGTAGTTATGTTTTGTTATTTGCACGTTGCGACTACCTGATCAATTATCTGGATGGAATACCAAAAACCTTAGACATTTCATCTTTAGAAAATGAACACCTTTCATTCATCCTATATGCCTCTTATCTATCTACTTGGCTGTTCGTCACCATCTAAAATCTACATCCACTGGTGCGTATTTAGAATCTGACATGACCCGAGGGAAATATTATGTAAATGCAATTGGCATCTTCGGTGCAACATTGATTTAGAATAATTTCATTTTTTTCTATTTGACATTTGGTGTTGGAATGTCAGATTTTGATGTTTTTTTAACTTATCATGCACATGCTAATATTTCTTCTATGGTTTCTTAGGCTTTCCCCGGACAAGATTTGGTACATTGACCAGATGCTCAAGGTTCTCCCCCAGGTATGCATTATGGTCGTAGGTTCTCCCGAATGATGACTCTCATTTTCCATGCATTGCTTATAACGCCCCAAGCCCAAAGTAATACACCAGCCCAATCTCCAAATCAACTTAAAATCATCCTGAAGTAATTAGTAGCCCATTAGTAAGGACTTGTAAGGGACTTCCAATTTTAATTCATAATCTATGTGAGACGAGTTATCATAAACGGCCACACTTCAATTTCTGATGCCTCGTTAGGCCGACATAAAAACCCATCCAAACAGACCTAGAATTAATAATCTGCAAGAGATGCATGAGTCCAACTCACTACCCCTCGAGGGACCACTGCTCTGATGCCATTTGTAGCGCCCCAAACTCAAAGTGATAGACTGGTCCAATAACATGCAATTGAACTTACAACCATCCTGGAATTTATTTGTAGCCCATTACTAAGGACTTCAGTTGTAGAATTCTAATTTTGTGAAAAGTGAAATTATTACGAGGAATTTAGGTGAAGTAAACAATGTCCTTTCTCTAGTAAGAGGTTGGCTGTTTCACTATGTCTTTCTGCTCGTGCCCATGGTTTATATCAGTTATGCTTCATGCTGTTCTTTCGACTTAAGACTTCGTCTAAACTCTACTATTGCTTTTAGGTTAGTTTGCTCAGTGAATCCTGCACCTAGAATAGTTCATTCCATGTATTTAGGCATCTCCACAATCTGTGTTCACTAGTTTCACATGTGCTTGCCGGACCACTAATCTCTTGTTCTACTGTTAGTAGGCTGGAAATTACGTAAAGGATGAAGTATGGCATGCTCTTATTGTTGTGATAACCAATGCTTCTAACCTCCATGGGTACACAGTAAGGTCACTCTACAAGGCAATCCAAACATCAGGTGACCAGGTACAATGAATTTCTCGCTTAATAATCCTTGATCACCTTGGTCCATCTGATGTTCTGCTGGCAGTTTCTCTTCATATGTACCACTTACATATAGGTATCAATGTATATTTCTTATTGCTTCCAAAAACAGGAAACACTTGTTCGTGTAGCTGTATGGTGCATCGGAGAATATGGTGACATGTTGGTCAACAATATTGGAATGCTTAATGTGGAGGAACCTATTACTGTGAGTTTGCTTCTCCATGATTGTATGAATTTCTTTTCCATGTTAATTTCTAGTTTGTTCTAAAGAATTCATAATCCCCCTAAACAGCATCTGCATTTTACAAAACTGTATTGCAGAGCAGCAGTGTGATTCTGGCTATTGACTTCTTGAGATTCATATCAATGTTCATCGAGTCACACACTCACACATGAGCCATGTTTGTGTGACATCTAAATAGGAAAATTATATTATATGTACTTTAAGTTTGGGTCATGCGGCTTTAAGATCTAGTAGACAGTTGGTACAGGGCATTAGAAATCTTCAAGCTTTCAGAGGTCAGGTGTTGTGAGGGTGATGAGAATCTAGCCTATTCTATGTTGAACTTTTCCTGTATTTGCCATTTTGCCTCTGTTATGCCATATCATGTATATTTCTGCTGGAGTATATTTTAGCATCTCATTGTTTCCAGAATATTTTGTTAATTTGAGTTGTTTCAACAGGTAACTGAGAATGATGCTGTGGATGTTATTCAAATTGCAATCAAGCGCCACACATTGGATCTTACTACCAGAGCTATGTGTTTGATTGCTTTATTAAAGCTGTCTTCTCGTTTCCCTTCTTGCTCACAGTAAGTTGTTTTTGTTCGTTAAAAGTAGGTTCTCATTCTCATATTTACGCAAATTTACAAGCGGGTTTACACGAAATGTCGATTATTCAGGAAGGGTTCAGTTTCATTCCATATTTCCACTTGCTCTGTTGAGGCTTTTGTAAGCTTGTAATGACTGTAATTTCTTTTTCTTCTTTCCTTCTCGTTGATCACTTCTTTAATCTACACAGGGAACCTAGTTCCAATTGTATGTATATGTGTGTGTGCATGTTCATCAAACACATTGCTAATTAGTAGTGTGGCTCACTCGAGGCCCTCGCCATCTAACTGGCGTTTTATTGATGAAGGGACTTAAAAGCACAAGTTATCACAAGATACTATGCTAATACTGCCTGACTATATACACAACCTCTTCAGAATTCTGAAGTTCAAGCATAGAATATTAGAATTTGAACCAAAAAGGAAAGAAGTGCAAACGAGTAGCCTAGAACTAGTCTACAGATCTTAATACAAAAAATAAAAAATATATTTTATCTTTAATCTTCGCAAAATGAATTGACACCTTTCATATTTTCTTGTATTGTAAGTGATATTTGTCTACATTCTATGCTAGGGTTTTTGTCCCTTTTTGGTGAATAAAAGGTTCCTGATTTAGAAAAGCTTCCGTCTGACAAAGTATCACTTTGAGTTTTCATTGATGTAATCTATGAAATTTCTGATTATGTAGTTGTTATTTTTAGGAGAATAAAGGATATCATTACTCAATCTAAAGGAAGCCTTCTGCTTGAACTGCAGCAGAGATCCATCGAATTCGATTCTATAATTGAAAAGCATCAGAACATAAGGTATGGATTAGTCGTCTACTAGTAATAGCTCAGCTATGAACTTGTAATTTTCATAACTCTATAAAAAACTCTTAACGATATTAATGAACATGTGAAGGTCTGCACTCGTTGAAAGGATGCCGGTGCTTGATGAAGCAACTTACAGTGGAAGGAGGGCTGGTTCTATGCGTGCAACTGTATCAACTTCACACGGAACTGCACTAAATCTTCCCAATGGAGTTGCCAAAACAGCTGCAGCCCCTCTAGTAGACTTGCTCGATTTAGGAGCAGAGGAACCTGCAGCGCCTAGCTCTTCAGGTGGCAACTTCCTTCAGGATCTTCTTGATGTTGATACATCCTCTTCATCACAATCAGGTTAGACTTAATTACCTAGCAAACTGTTTTTCCCTTCCCAAAATGGTTTTCTAGTGTATATATGTGTATGGATGTTTTCCTTTCCTGAAACCAGGATAAGGAGAGGAGTATCTTGTTGGAAAATGTGATTTTTTTTTGTGTAGGTTTGGCTTATTGCAAATTACTTTATGTTTCCCATAGTACTTTGGAAACAGAGTAAAACATGCTTCAGAAATCAGAACTAATTGAGCATTTTGCATGGCTTTTCTAGTTCTCTAATAATGCAAGAGTTGGGTATTATGCTGATAACCAGAGTTCTTTTCTAATAACCTTTAGCATGAACTACAAAAATCGCCCATGTGCCTAAACTTATCTCTTAATATGGTCACTGAGTAAATAGTTCTGCAATTTCCCCCAAAGATCATTACAATCAAGTCCTTAATGTTATCATCTGTAATGTTCATGACATTTTTCAGGGCAATTTAGGTGGATTAATATACTACTTTTTATTTAAATTTTTATTTACTTTGTAACACCAAAGAATTAAGCTTCCATAGAAAGCCTATTGGCTGCTGCATGCACCTCCTCACAATCTCTGCCCCTCCCTCCCTCCCTCCTCGGTCTCCATCTTCTCTACCTATGCCAACTAATCCATCTTTCAGGCATGCTTTTGTGTTCCATTGTTTTTGCCTTACAGTTTTTTTATTTTGATTTTGAATTTCGTTTCTTGATTTTGATTTTCTTGTTTTTCTTATTTAAGTGGGAAATAATATTATTTGGACTTCAATGTGCAAACTTTCCTGGTTTTTTCTTTCAATTTTGATAGTCAATTCATTTTCTCATTTTTGTTTTTGATTTTTTTTCCTTTTTGTTTCACTGTTTCTTGATGTTTTAGGTCTCCCTTTATCAAAGTGAACGGTTACATAGGTGGTACTCCAATTTTAGTGGTGGGTTGTGATTGTTAGTAGTGATGGGTGTTTTGGTGGTAATTTGCTAGGTGGTGGTGGTGGTGAAGATGAAAATTAGAAGAAAAAGATAATAATAAGTACAAATAAATTAATAAAATACCCTTAAAAGCATTAACCAAAATGCCATAAGAATGTTAAGTGATGAACGGCATCTAATAGAGAACTGTTAAAGCAACATTAAACAAGACTTGATTGATGCGACTCCGGGATACACGGACTAAACATGCAGAATTGTTTACTTAGAGACGATGCCTATATTTTATGCATGGCACCAGCGACGGTTTTTTTGATTCACTCTAGATTGTACAATCTAACCATATTTGCTAGTTTACTCCTGCTCTTGAAGTTGTGTTCATTTATTGTCAACTTCTCTTATGCAAACTTATACCTGAACAATATTGTAGAACCTGAATCGTAATGCCTGGAAAAGGTGGTGAGCAGATGGGTGTGGTAGGAACACCGTTGAATTTGACTTCACAATCATATAATAATCATATTTTCATTATTCAAATTAACATGGTGATAGAAACAATGTTAACTTATATCTATCAAATTATTTTGTGATTCAAATTTTAATTCATTTCAAATTTTGCGTAGGCATTTATGTGAACGGATGTCTAACCATAAAATGGGGACATATCTAAATTCATATTCTTTTAGTTAAAATGATGTCTTAATTCCATATGTGTTGCAAATCAACATCCAAATTGATTTATCAGAAATTATTCGAATTTGTTAAGCAAAAAATCCAATAATGAAAAAAAAAAAAAAACTTATCTGTGTCCAAAAAACAATAGTTTCAGCTTTTTCTACACATCAAGATACATTATGCTATTAATACACTGCCATATATCCTCTATACGCAAACAAATGTATGTTTATGTATATCTATATATAATGCCTCCGAATTAAGTGATCCAGATCCATATAAATTACATAATGCTCCCTATTTATGTATATTCATCTTTAAGAAATTAATCAGTTTGAATATTTAGTTAGATTGATTATAGCAATATTTAGATTCTTATTCCATTAATATTTAGTGAACATGTATTTAATGTAGCATGATTGCTAATTTTAACTCTTGTTTAAGTTAGAAGCAGACTAGTCAGTTTGCTTACCATTTACTGGCCTATTAACAAGCCCTAGAAAATTGTAATTAACTATTAGAATATCATTTTGGTTTTTTTTTTTTTTGGGGGGGGGGGTTAATTTTAATTTATTTTATTAAAACGTTCTACAAAACAAAACAAAACAAAACAGAGTAATTTAGAGAGGCTATTACTCGACTCATGAAACATAACAAGTTTGGAGTTGAGAGCAATTAACGGTTTTAACGGTCAGAATGAATGGTCCAATTCTTATTGCAAAACCTTTATCAGAATTCAGAACATCTCACTTGCAAATTGCGATGGTGCAAGCTATATCCGACCGAGTTTGAATGAATTTCAACAAACCTGTCATCTTTTGCTTCATACTGCTTTCTTTGCTGCTTTTTCTTACCAAGTATTCTCATGTCGCTTGAAGCGTGGTACTCTTATGTAATCTGTCCGTGTTTCATTCTTGGAATATAGAGTTATTCAGTTCGAGGGAATGAGTCTTGTAGAGCTAAATTCTTTTTTCCCTCTTGAACAACCATTTCTTTTTCTTCTCTCCGATGGTTAACCATTAGCTGTATCACACACATTATGCATGGGGATAACATATGGTCATTTTACCTTTGTTGGTTTCAGGTACAACCCAGCCTCAAAAGAGTGGCACAGATGTTCTGCTGGATCTACTGTCAATCGGGTCGCCTTCTCCTCAAAATGGTTCATCTGCACCTGATATATTGTCTATAAGTAAAGATAATAGAACTTCAGTTAGTGCATTAGATAGTCTTTCCTCAGCTATAGGACCATCTGTACAAGCCTCTTTCACAGCAGGAGATGCCCCTATGATGGACTTACTAGCTGGATTTGGTCCTAGCCCTCCAGCTCCACCACCTAGTAAGTAGTTGCTCAATTCGGGTTAACAAGTGCTTTTTGCTTGAGATTTTAATAACCACTGTTTCATAGCAGAAGACAATGGTCCTGCATATCCACCGATGGTTGCTTTTGAGAGTAGCTCTTTGAGGATAATGTTCAACCTTTCGAAGCAACCTGTAAGTCCACAAGTAACCCACATTGAGGCAATCTTTACGAACAAGTCTTCTGATGTCTATACAGATTTCATTTTCCAGGCAGCAGTCCCAAAGGTAATAGCAAGCTACTTCATCGGCTTATATTATTTTACTACTGTAATATTTTCTTCATATTAATTCGGCTTTCAATCTGTTTTCTGAATGCCGTTCTGTTTTATGCTTCCTTTTCCGTTACTTTTGCAAGTACTGCTTAATATAATTAAAATACACGAAAGAAAGATGTTATAGGTCTGCATGCAAAGGGCTATATGCCTATATTGATTATATAATCTAGTGGGATGTCTAAGGGGATGTTTACCAACACAAATTGGGAAAGCGCGGTCTAGTTAAGTGCCGATCGAAAATTGTTGTTTACAAGTGTTTTGTAGTACGAGCTTACCAATAACAAAAAATCACCATTGCAACCCTTTGGTATAATTAAAATGTTATTGTACATAATGATCACAAAATTACAAATAAGAATTTTATTTTATGTAAAAGAGACAACAGTTTCTTTGGTCAAAAATTAAATAAATATGATAAAAAAAGCTTAACATAATGTACCAATTAGATATTAAAAAACTTAAATCCTGTGTGTTGTTTGGAATTCAACCTCATTTGAAGTGAATTTGTGTGCTCTGATTCCCTTCTCTTTTAATTCTAAGCTGAAGCATCATATTCATAAACCATACTTTCACTCGAATATGCCATCTGATGCTGCTTTCCCAATCTACAGTTTCTTCAGTTGCATTTGGAACCTGCTAGTGGTAATACTCTTCCGGGAAGTGGTAATGGCTCAATAACTCAGAAGTTGCAAGTTACCAACACTCAACATGGCAAGGTATTTCAATACATTTTTGACCAGATTATGTTATATCCTCTTGTTTTATATCCAGTTCTGATTACTACATAGTAAACAATATATACCAGAATGAAATTTGCCAAAAGGGAAATGCAACAGTTATTTAGAGACTTAGGGGGGTAGTTTAGGAGAGTATGATATAGTTAAACAACTTACTGGACCTAATCTAGAATTGGCATGAAGACATAAATGTAATATTGTTTATTTCAGAAATCAATTGTGATGCGCATACGAATAAGTTACAAGTTGAAGGGCAAAGATATGTTGGAGGAAGGACAGATCAGCAACTTCCCACGCGACCTTTGATCCATGTGTAGTTTTTGGTTTGATGTATGTTTGTTGTGTTACAATACATTTGATGAGGTTATAGCAATCAGGATTTGTACATGAACATGGAAGGAAAAGAGTCCTAAATTTTGTCATCATAGACAGACACTGACAGATAGATTGTCATTTGAGAAGCTTTGTTTGTTGAAATGAAATTATCCAGGTCCAAGTCTCTGCTTTTCTCTTCTTAGAATGTTTCTCTGCTTTTGTTGGATACAAATTCTTGAATTATAACTAATGATCAAAGATTTTCATTTATAACAAGAATGTGTGTATATATTTATGTGTCTGCACACCAACCGTACCGTATTATATGCAAAATCAAAAAAAAAAAAAAAACCACAAAAAAGTGGATGAACAAGTTTATCAATATGGATGTCAAGTTAACGACAAAAATATGATCGTGTTTTTTGTGTAATTTATTTTGTTTATTTTTCGTCTTTTTTCAAATAAAAGTTTGGAAGGGGGTGATGTTTTTTAATTTAAAAATATTGTTGCAACCATTCACTTAATCACATTCATTGGATCATCTGATCTAACGGTTGATAAGACGTTTTCTAGTTTTTCATTTATGTAGAGTTTTTAGATGAACCTTGGTGTGGTGTGTGTGTGTGTGTACAAGGAAGGTTCAAATGAGAACAACTTCATTTCATAAGAACATGAGAACATCTTTTTACTATAGATAATCACATGTGATACTAAATTACAAATGTGGACAACTTTTGTGCGATCTAGGTTGCGGGCTAAGTCGCCCTTACACTACTAAACGTGTATTATCACATGTGATAAATGTGTTCCTAATGTGATACTATAATCTATCATATTTGATATTAAATCATAGATGCATACGACCTTGGGCTCGATCTAAGTCGTAGAACACGTCGTTTGCACACCATCAGGTCCTCTTACATGTATTATCATATTTGATAAGGGTGTTCTCGTGTTCTTGTAAAATAAAGATGTTCCATTTGAACCTCCACCTATACACACACACACAAGGGATCATGTGAGAAGGAAAGTTATAGTGAGAAGCGTAAAAAGATATCTGAACCCTTGGTCACTTCTCATACCCACCCATGAATCATGTTTTAGAAGGGAATTTGATTTGATGCATCTCGATACACCTCATTAGTGTTGACATTCAATCAGGATTGATCCAAGGTAGAGATCTCTTCTTATGCCTCTCACCATAACTTCCCTCCATAACCTAACAACAAATGCTATTTACATGTCTAATATCTTTTGATATGATCTAACTATATTCATTTAGAGCAATTAGCATATACAAATATCGGCTATAACTTGGATGTAGACTCGAATCAAGTATTGACCATGAGTCTGAGACTTGTTTATGTTCTAACAAATTCTCTTTATATACAGACAATACACATAAGATACCCAATTTTACACTTGGGTTCTTTGATGTACGTGATTTTACCTATCAGAACACCAAACACATCAATTTCACCCTACATGCACAAGTCCAAGTCGTTTATAAAATAAACTAATCCAAATTAACCTAACATATTTCATACAAATATAGATACATATACATATATAGATATTACTTATATCTTAACAGATAGATCGAGTAGAAGTAGTTCATGAGTATTGAACCAAAAAGGATTTATACGAAAATTCACAAAATAGAACGGGTTTTTATGAGATTTTAATAAAATAAACGTATAATCAAATTTATATATGTTTAACATTTGAGTGGCTCAACAATTAAAAAAAGGAGAAGGGGTATGAAAAAGTGAAAGAGATTTGAATTTGGCATATCACCATCTCTTTTACCAATTGATTCTATGTTTTTATGCTTGTCCTTTGTCATTTCATTTCTTTTGTTTTCAAATGAAAGCAAACACATTAAAATGATTGTTTTTGGCCCAACTGAAAGTGATGTATAGCTATACACACAAATTTCAAAACCCACTTGTAATTATATTTTATTTATTAATAAAAAATAATATTATTTTTCAGAAAGTATAAATAATATCATTTTTAAACGATTCATAACTTTGCTTTTGTTCTGTCATTTTTTTTAACTGATCATTAATATTTTTATCAGTAACAAATCAAACATGATAAAACTGAACATTTTTCTTCCAGTTAAATGGCTTATTTAACAATACTTCCAATTAGATTTTTTTTTTGTTTTTTTCTTAGCTTATGCTTTAAAGATTTTTAAAATGAAATTATAATGTAAAAAATATTAATACATAATTATTTATATGAAAAAGAGGTTAAATTATATATTAGAAATATAAAAGAATAAGTCTTTAATTTAATGTGTAAAAAGAGAAAATTAGTCATAGATATGCATTTAAAAATTAATAGGTATGTCTTTTACCTACCTTTGACAAATATAATCTAGACTAAGTTACAATTTTAGTCCTTGTGGTTTAGATTTTTTACTCATTTTTGTTCTAAAATCAAAATAAGTACAAGGATGAGATTTATCGTTTGCATTTTTGCACTCTTTGAGTCTCTTCCTCTAACGGAATAAAAAAGATTTTGTTGACACAATTAAAATCTAAGACATTTTACTCTTTTTAACCCTGTTGTGTATTTACTTGATTTAAAAAATTATTTTTTAATTCTTTTTAACCTTATTTATTAATACGTGTATATAATATATATGTTAACGAGGAACACCACCCCCTAGAATCAACCCCAATGATGGCCTCCCCTACCGTCGATCACCCCAACACCACCTACAAGCTTCCCTCGGGAAAAGCCCATCGTCGCCATCTTTCTCGATCCATCGTGAAATCAAGTGCAAACAACAAGAATTTACAACTTTTGACACTGTCCTAAAAGGCTCATTGTAATAGCCGCTATGTCGCACTGTGGGTCAATACTTGTGTCTTACACCACGTTATGCCATGTCATGGCTTGATGCACAGTTTTCGTAACATAATATTTGGTTTTTCTTACCTTTTAATGTCTTATTTGTTTTAGTTTTTAATGTATAACTTAATTTAAATTGTTTATCATCATTGACTTGTTGAATAACAGTAGATTACATAATATATATATATATATATATAGAGAGAGAGAGAGAGAGAGAGAGGTTCAAGGGAAAATCCCAAAAAAATAAAAAAAAATGAGGAACACCCCATTAACCATTTATCTAGAGAGTATGCACATGTGCATACATGTAATTGAAGTTGTTTTTTGATTTTTATGCACGTATGTTCCTCAATTTTTCATATTTTTGCGCCTTTCCTTTGAACCTGATCATATATATACCTGTCATATGACATAGACGTTTGCCACCATAAGTTACCCATTGAAAAATGTCGTGGCCTCACTGTGACTCTTAAGGCTTGAGGCTTGGGATCACCGCCACAACACGCCCCACTCCACTTAGAATCTTGGTTTATGATCAAGTCATTTAACCCATCAAGATTCAAAGCGGAAGGCTTAAGATCACTCTCATGATTTCTTCCAAGAACACGATTTCGACCCTACAAGGCCTAACATCAAGAACCCTGATGAAGCTCCGATTTCCAATCATTTAATTCAAACATACGAAAGACCTGAACCAGGGAGCGTAGAATTTACTGTTACTATATATATATATATATATATATACTATTTACTAATCATAGCTAACATAACAAGGAGAGCAACCTACTGAACATAATCTACACAGGTTGAACTTACCTATAGGAGGAGGTTTGATTCCATTACAGGAGATCCCAGAGGCTCGCTCGGAAAGGCTGCTATACCAGGGTTACTTCTTTTGTCAGGTCTCAACTTTTTCAAGTCTCATTTGATAGCTATATAAGATAGATACTTTCTACCTGGAGATTTTGCGTGGACAAAACAAATGAAGTAAAGAATCCAAAGAAATTCACAACTATGGAGAAAACTTGTGCAATAGTCATAGCAGCGCTTTCAGGTTAAGTTATGAAGATGTGAGATCCGGAGAGTGGAACAGATCTACCTGCCCAAGGTGCCAATATCAAGTGGTTATCCAAACCTTCTCTTTCAAATTCAAAGTGGATGTTCTCGTACAAATCAAAATAACACTTCTTTCTTCTTTCAAATGATAAATACAAGAAATTCTCTGATCAGATAAAACAATACAATTAATTTAACTAAATCAGAAACCATAACTTCCAAGAAACATCAACAACATTTTTATAGATTCATTCGAAAAAAACTTGTGGTACAAACCCTTAAAGGCAAATCCTTAAAATCCTGAAGCGAAAACCTAAATCAAACCCTATAAAATATCTAGATCATAAACTAAATAAACCATATGAACCATAACATACATGAGGGAGAGGGAGGAGATCATTGAGGGGTCGGAAATCATAGGAACCATAAACTCGAAATCATGATGTAGAGCGAGAGAGATGAGATCATTGCTTCACCTAATGTAACCGTGATGTCAAAGAACAAGGAAGATACGTAGGAGTTGTAGTGAACGTGGTGATAACGGTGGTTGGTCGCAATAGTGGAAGGACTAAAGAAGGTTAAAGTTAGGGAAGAATTATAGGTGAATGGTGATGCTCGACAGAGAAGGGACGAAGGAGATGGTCGTTTGCAGGGGTGGCAAGATCAGTGAGAGCAGGGCAAATTAGAGTGGAAAAGGAGGTGGTCTTGTGGTGGTCGTAAATGGGAGCGAAGGTGGTAGCGTGCTCTTGATTGGAACAGACGATCTCTCTCTCTCTCTCTCTCTCTCTCTCTATATATATATATAATTATAAGTTTTAAATTTTAATAGAATAAAGCCAAAAAAGAGATCAAAACTCCAAAATACCCCTTAAATTAATCGGGTTAACGGATTTTGTTAGAGAAAAGGATTCAAAGAGTATAAAAATGTAAACTACAAATCACATCTTTGTATTTATTTTAAATATAGGACAAGAGTGGATAAAGATATAAACCAAAAGGACCAAATGTGTAACTTATTTTATAATCCAAAATAAATAGAAAATCAAATGATTAGCAAACAATAGTGAATAGCCTTATTTTTAGTCACATGACTCCTTTTTTCCACTTTACAAGGTTTGGTGGGCCCATCAATCTCACCTCAGAGTTCCCACCCTCCCTCAAAACAACATCACCTTCCCATTCCCAATACATCATAATCTTAAAAATCATTTTTAATTCAATTATGTATTTCAATAAATATTTATTTATTTTAAATAATATAATAATAATAATAATAATAATAATAAAAAATTAAATTGTGATTTCCTTATAAATCCAAAATTTTAAGCTATCAATAACTTTATCATAGTTTTAAGTTGAATTTAAATTATTGGATTGATCAGTTGTTTTAGACTACAAAACGTTACAGATCTGATATGATGCATAATTCTAATAAATAACTTGTTAACTATATCCTTTGACCGTCAATTAATAAAAATAAATCAGGAAAAACTTATGAGACACAATCTTAATAACATGACAGTTCAAACAGATAATTTAAAATTAAAAAGTATCGATCACAAAAACAATTTTGTTAATTTTCTGCGATCATAATACTAAAAGTTGCATTGAAAATAATATCTCTAATAGTTTGATGATAAAATAAATATCCTCTATTATTATTATTATATTTTAAATTTATTCCTCAAGAATATCAAGTAATTAGAAGAATTTTACACTCGTAAATATTCAAAAAGTCTTGGGAGGGAAACATAACCAAATTCCAATAAGTAGATAAAAAAAGTACAATTTGTCATCTTCAATAAATCAAAAAAAGGAATACTACATTTCAGTTTTACTGTGACATTGGAAATGTAAAATGTAAGAACTTTACGTTGATATATCTAAGTATGAAAATGAATAATAACGTTCGATTAATGATTCGTTTAGCTTGGCCCCCACAAAATCATTCACTGAAATCTGCACTTTCCAACTAACAAAATCACAAAGAAAAAGGGGAAAAAGAGAGAGGCTTTGAAGGGATCATCAACAATTGAATGGTTATTTGGCCCAAAAATATTCAAATTCAAACCAGTGTACAACTCCTGCTGCATGATGTACAGATAACTCAAGCATTGACCTAACTAATGGTGGGAATTAGTTGCTAATCTTGATGGTATGCTTACATTCACAGATGAATTCATCATATGGGTACCTGAAGAATCTTGAAATTTATGTTGATCTTTCTTTGACCAGAGCCAAATCTTGGAAACAGAAAAGCTCTCACCTTTGCTTCTACTACTAATTTTCTTTCCATCACTACCCCCATCCACTGAGCTGTTCTCTTTGTCTTTCTCAATTCCCACATCCTTTTTTCCAATATTACCCCTACTACTGGGGCAAAATGTCACTTGTAGCTCTGAGTTTCCCACCACATACTCATAAGATCCCATTGAGTAACACCTTCTTGCATTGAGATTGCTACTGCTAGTCTCACCCACTTCTTTCTCTTCTCTTTTCTCACCATTTGTGGTTCTAAACTTGCCAAGTCTAACTGGATACACCCTCTTTTCAATCCCCCCTCCAGATTGCTTCAAATTACCAGAAACCCCATCATGAATCATGCCTGAATTCAAGAACACGTGATCATCTTCTTCAATTGAATCATCAAAATGGAAGTTAAAGACTGGATTTTCAACAGAAAATCCAGGGGTGAAAAGGGTTCCTCTGCATAAAGGACAGGTTGAATTTGAGAGCAACCAAGTGTCTATACAATGAATGTGAAAAGCATGGCTGCATAAAGGAAGCAGCCTAAGATTGTCAAGCTCTGAGAATTCACAAAGGCAAACAGCACAATCAAAAGGCTCTTTTAGCCCCATTAATTCTTTGTATAAGAACACTGGGAGGACATCAATGAAAGCTTGGTCTAAGCCAGAATCATGTAAATGGAAGAGCTGTTGCAATTGTCTTTCATATACAACATCATCATCATTATGGGTACTTTCTTGAAATCTTGAAGATTGATGAAGAGAATTTGGAGGTGAAGAAGATGATCTTTTCTTCTTCATGAGATATCTTACAAGAAAGTGAAGTAAAACACAGAGAAAGAACGCAACTCCTAATAAAACTACAATGTTTCTGGCAAAATGTAGAGTATGATTAGTGGGAGGAGGATGAACAGGAGGAGAAAAAGAAGAAAGGTCTTGTTTGATGAGGGGTTTGATCCTGCGCATGTTAGTAGATATGAAATGCTACAAAAATCATCAATTTTTGGTAGAGTTTCAAGAAAGGCTTTTTAATAGATTAGAGTGTTCTTGGATCAATACCCAATTCATGAACTCGATAAAAAAAGCAATTCAAATACTAAACAGTTGAAGTTACAAGAAACCCACTTGAATAGATAGAAACAGGATGCGATTAAACCTAGATCTTGAAGCAAAATCAAAATTTTGGACTCGTAGAGATGAAGCGCAAGATTTTTTTTACCTTACTCACATCATACTACTGTTGGTATGTGGTTCTTCTGGGATTCAAGAAATCTTGAAAATAGAAAGGGTTTTTGGTATTTTTGGGGGTTTTGAGTGAGAAACCCTTTATATTGGGTGAGTGAGTATGCGCGTGTGTGTGAGATTGGCACCTGGAAACTTCCAAAAAGAAATCTTATTTAGGCCCATGGCCATAGGTGGCAAGAGGGAGGTAGGATCACCAGGGGTAATTTGGTAACTTAACAACGATTTTGATTTGGAAAGAAGTAAGAAAGTCTTATTAGTCTCCAAAATTTGAGGTTTTGGGCCTTTAGGCCATCACATCAATCACAAGTTGGGCTTTAAAAAAAAAAGGATTTCATAAGGCCCATAATAGGGTCCAAAAGTAACAAATATGGCCGAGGCCCAAGATAGGTCTTTAAGGCCCATGTAAATTAGCCCACCAAATGTTCTTGTTGAAAAGCAAGGTGAAGATCAAATCCTTACCAGATGAAGATCTTGTTTAAACCATTCATGTTGATCATTTGAAAACTCTAAAATTTATGAGATGTATGAGAACTCCTTTCTTAATATTTTGTTTCACATGATTCTTTTCCGTCTAAGTATAGTATTAACCGTATTAATTAACATATATTTGTTTCACAATTTGTCTGCTTCACATGTATTCAGTTCACAGTGTGAAATTTTTTTACGTGTACTTTTTGTTTAAAAAACATGTCAAAAAGGTTCACAATGTAAATCGAGTACATGTTAAATAATCATGTTATGAAACAGATATATGTTAATGAATATTCTAAATGCTAGTCTTAGATGGAAAAAATATCATACGAAATAACATATGATGAATAAATTCTCAAGGTTATCACAATTTTATGTGTTCTCAAAAGAAAGTCCTATACATATACATATACATATACATATTCATATACATATACATATACATATACATATACATATACATATACATATACATATACATATACATATACATATACATGTATAGGGAGGTTCAGACGAGAACAGTAACCAAATAAAAATAAAAACAAAAAGGATCAAATTACATGATTTTACACCACCGCTTAACACAAAAGNATACATATACATATACATATACATATACATATACATATACATATACATATACATATACATATACATATACATATACATATACATATACATATAAATGGTTGGTTTTCAGTGAGAATGAGAGTTAAGTTGAGAAACATAAGAAGAGATCTCCACACTTGGATTAAAGAATCGTGTGAGAAGGATAGTTAAGGTAAGAAGCGTGAGAAGGAATTTGGACTCTTGATCACCTTTAATCTCAAACCCACCCATGAATCATGATAGATACGTGAATTGATTTGGTGCACATCATCTCGGTAAATCTCACCTTAATATGCATCCAAAGGTGGAGAACCATTCTCTTACGCTTCTCATCTTAACTCTCATTCCCACCAAAATCGAATGCTATATATATAGCGTGTATCATTTACAAATCGTCGTATTAGTCAAATTTTGCAAATCAATTTCAATCGTCCATCTAGTCTAGTGAAATGTAATATATATATATATATATATAGAGAGAGAGAGAGAGAGAGAGAGAGAGATTAACGTTAGTAGTTGTTTGACATGTATTCTATAAAACGTAATCTTAGTAGTATTGTATTTCTTACAAACTGATGTAAATATAAATATCTACTGACAATCCAGATAAATTTAATGTGAGTTATAATAATAATCAAGAAACCGATGAATTTATTGGACGAAATTTATGAAAATTTCCAAACAAAAGAAGGAAGCAAGGCTATAGATGTTTGGAATGTTAAGGCCGAAAGGACAACAGTCAATATCACTAAAGACGATTGCTCTGGCATTTAACACAGATTAATAGACGAAGTAAGTTTGTGAAAGTCAATGTATCTAACGGGAATTGTATCTAGTTTCAGGTAAATCTTCAAGTTAAGATGATACAATTGCCTATGTAATTGTCATAAATATTATTCATCGCGTCAATTTTGGGTACGAGAAGTAGTTTTTTTTATTTATTAAAACATATGTCAAGTCAAACACTACCAATTTCACTAACCACTAAATTATGTTATTCAAATTATTATAAGAAAAGCCGTCTCTTAACAGTTAGGACTGTAAACGAACCGAACGTTTAGCGAAACGTTCGTGAACCGTTTGGCGGGAAATTCGTTTATGTTCGTTTATTTAATAAATGAACGAACATGAACAATTTTTTTTTGTTCATTTAGTTAAACGAACGAACATGAACAAGAGTCTCGTTCGTTCATTTAATGTTCGTTTATATTCGTTCGTTTATATATTAAATTTAAATATATAATCTTTTATTTATTTACTTTGAATTCAAATAATATTTATTTATGTTCGTTTAGCCTGTTCGTTTATATTCGTTCGTTTACGTTCGTTTAACATGTTAACGAACGAACATAAACGAACACGAACACATCTGATTTCTAAACGAATGAACACGAATACAAAGATTTTCGTTCGTTTACCGTTCGTGTTCGTTCGTTTGTGCGGTTAAGTTAAACGAACGAACATGAACAAGCCTCTGTTCGTGTTCGTTTACAGCCATATTAACAGTTAGTAATCAATATTAGGAGTCCCTTACAAGTTCATATGACTGTAGAACAATGATAACGGTAAACTATTAAACTTCAAATTACTTAATGTCGTCCACAAGATTGTTATGATATATATTTTATTGAGAAAAAAAAAATATTATATGCATCAATTAAAAATATATTCGTTCTAAATCCGTACCAATTGTTTTTTTTTTTTTTTGTAAGGGTGTCCGGGCCAAAGCCCGACTAATCCCCGGTAAATTTGGAGGCTAAACATGGCCTCACTTAAATGTCGCCAACACTTCCCTCCCAGGGCTCGAACTCGGGTTCATGACTATGCCATGCCCAAGCCTTTACCACTAGGCTGGAATTGCGTCATCAGGAATGCCCGATAAAATGTAAAAAAAGAAAAATAAATTCAGACAGGCTGATTAACATGTAAAATTTAATATTAAAATGACCAAGTTGAGTTGATTTATAACATATTTTTTTAAAGCTATAAATAATAAAACATGATTACAAAAATCTATATTATTAAAATAAAAATATAACTTTTTTATACACAAAGATGATATCCCCTCGGATAGACCGTAAATGATCTTGGGTCATCGTAAATGAATCTTTATGATTATAAGTGTTTTAGCAGTGTTTGGATTCAAATTTAGAGTAGATGATATTTTTCATTACATCCTAAGCGGTTAAATTCATTAGATCTTTACGACTAATAAAGTTAGATGCACTATTATTTTACTAGAAGGGTACTCGTGCAATGCAGTGAAATACATTTTAATTTTAATATTTATTCTTTATCTCGGTCGATGTTATAATATGGTCTTATGTGATTTTGAAAAAAACGATGATGTTTTTATTTTTAAATAAAATATAACTTTGAAAATATCATAAAATTTGACAAAAATATATCGATATTAGTATCAAATTAACTATTTAAAATTCCTACTTTTTGTGTAATTTTTTAATTCAATTTTTATTATAATTTAATTTAGGTTCAATAATGAAGTAATTTATTTTTGGTTTAGTATTATAATTTCTTTATAAAGATAATAATTAATTATTTTGTTAGAACTCGATAATTATCCTATTATATTTTAGATTTTTTATATTTAAAATGAGATGTTTATCCTATATTTGATTATGTTTATTCGCAGTAGTTATACGAATTCAGATATGAAGCTTTAATAAGTAGTACTTACGCACAATTTACTTGCAATCTTGAGTTTTAAGTAATATGCATTAATAAACAATACTCTACGCATAAAAAATGGTTTTTAAGAGTTTTTTGTCAAATACTTTATAATATAATATAGATATGGTTTTTGAAGTTTATTTAAATGATAAATTTATAAAATATTTTATTAATATAATTAATGTTAAAATATTTGAAACAAATAAAAATTCTTAAAGTTGAATGTAATTTTCAAAGATATTTTAACCATTCCTTCTCTATATTAAAAAAATTTATAGACAATCAGATGGAGATGCTTTGAATGTGAACACATTCAGCCATCAAGATGGGTAAACATCTTTTACCCAGTAAATGCTTATCCGATAAGACTCTTCTCCCTTAATTTATAGAGTAAGATTATGGATCCTTGCCATAGTCACCCGTTAAGATAGGCGATACTCGGTAAACGTTTGGTTGATGACCCTTAAGACAAAACACAAACAAAGCAATTGATAAGATTTACAACAAGAAATTCCAAAAGAGAGAGAACGTTAATAATTGTTGTAATGAAATATTGCCAAATATTATGTCTTATTGAAAATCTTATGATAAGTTGTACCAATATAGTAATGGTGATTTTTGGGATTAATTAAAATGATTACAGAGTAATTTGATACTATTATTCAAGATAATATTAAAACACATGCAAACTCATGAAATTTACTGTTGTTGTTTTGGTCCCAAAATTCAAAAATGAGTTAATTTCTCTTTTGACTTATAATATTGAAAGTTCTGTCAAAAAAAGTTATCAAAGAGGTCATATTTTTCTATAATTCATGATCGTACCCCAAACGTGAGCCCTTTGGAAATGAGCTAGCCTAATAATATGATGTGTGAATGCCTAGTTGTAAAATAAAAGTATAATATTACTTTCTAGAATTTTTAAGGCGGGTGATATATCTGGTTTTGGAGATAAATCTATTGACCTTAGTGTTGATGATGTGCTGGATCAAGATTATTACAATGGTTCTAACATGAACGGAAAACATAAAGACAAAAACCGATTACTTGAAATTAATTTGAGTGCATCATATCATGTGCTTGTCATAGCCTTAATCTTGCTCTTAGTGAAATTACACCTCTTGCATTAAGGTTATGCGGGGGAGTTTTGGCGGATTGACCATCACCGACGAATATGTCCGCCAAAAATCTGCAACTATTTTTTAAACTTTTTTCAACTTGGCCGACCTAATTAATTATTTACAGGTGGATTAGATGCGGATTATCCACCG